CGCGAGTGCTCCAAGTATTTCTCTAAGCTGCATCAACCCAGACAAGAAGGAAAGGGGTGCGCTCTCGGGGGTGGGGGTGGGGCCACTCCATGTGTTCATCTAGGGCAAAGGGCTGGCTTCCGGCCCCAAGCCCAAGAGTCCTCTGGCCATGCCAAAGACTGCTCCTGGGCCTGCGAGGATGGACAACGGCCAAAGGTTCAGACAGGGCACTGACAGCGTTCAGCCTAGTTCTTGGCTACTGACTCTATGCCTCCACCTCAGGGCCAGACAGAACCGGTCTGCAGCTCCTTTTCCCCGTGTCCCTTGAAGCACTGGGGTAGCAGTGATTCTTGACATGACTTGAGAAGGCGTTGTGGTTAGAGACCACAGCCAAATTGACTGTCTCAGAGGCAGAGAGCGCAAGCAAATGAAAAAGTGAAATTCACAGTTAATATGGAAGATGCGCATCCAAGAGGGGCTTGTGAATGAGTTTTGTGAATATTGTGAATGAGATTTTTTCCCCCTTAACACCTGAAGAGTTTTATCTGGAGGGGTCATTTAGCCTTTATCAAAAAGGTGAAGTCTGAGAACCTCGGCTTCCTTGTGCCACAGACCCCTTTCATTCCTGAACAGTCCACAGCCTGGGTGACAGACGACTTACTTCAGCCTGGAGGGCAGGAGTCCTAGCCATGTGCCCAGGGCATCCCTTCAAGGACTTCACCTCAGAGTCCTGTCCACCAGCCAATGAGAACTCACGTAGGTGAGGTCACTACATCCTCATTGCCAGCCCAACGAGGGAGAATGGGACGGGGGAGGGGGGGCAGTAAATACCAAATGCCACCACCGATGTTGGTAAAGAAGTGGCGAAGGGCAAATGAGTCAGCAGCAAGTTTAAGCAATGAACAATTGCACCACGGGGTGTTTCTCAAATTCTTGTCTACTTTTAGAAAGTACGCAATGCCATTCGGTGCGCATCTTGATTCTGAAATAGCTACGAAAATGTTAAAAATGCTGTGGGTGAAGATGTGCCCGCGTTGACCTCTTTCCTAAAACAATGGTCCACAATTGTGTTGCGAGTCCTTTAGCGAATCTTGCAACCTGGCTGTTCCTTCGGATCCTTGTTGGTGACATGAAGGGAATGTACGCAAACTATCTCTGGAGGTTCCTTCCAAGCCCCGGAGTCTGAGACCTAACGCTGGACTCACATTGCCGATACTCAGGCCGGAAGGTATTGATACTCGGGTCTGTACAGGGCCAAGACCACCAGCCAATTCAGTGAGTGTGGACAAAATGTTCTCCCCAATCGATTGATTCTTTGGCACAAGAGAGGTGAAACAATGAGTTAATTGGCATCGCTTTTCATTTCACAACTGGCGGCTCTGGCATCGTCTTGACCAGCGCTTCTCGCACAGCCGTGTCCTGGCATGCTGCATGCCTGGAGCGGTTGTGAGGTGTGTCATAGGCGAGTGGCTACCTAATAACAAACTGCCGAGTCTTTCAAATGATTGATGATCTTTCTCGTTTTAATCAAATAGAACAGATTCCATGTAATCCTGTAATAATGTCCTGGCCAGTTGCTTGCATTCTGACATGCCTCTTTACGTGGAAGAAGTTTTGTTACTGGCAGACAAGGGCCTGCTCGGAGCCCCAACCCTACTGGATGCCACGGGAAGGGTGTCACGGGCCATACACATGAATATTCCATCATCTGCAACAGTCGCAGGATGGCTTTTAGAAGTCCCTGGTACAGGGTTAGACATTAAACCATTGAAGATCCAGGCTCCAGCATAACCAGGTCTAAACGTAACCTGCTGCCAGCATCCTGTGATTTAGCAAGGGAGCCAGTGAAGACAGGGCAGTTCAGAAGAACACAGAATGAAGGGCCGGTTTGCTATGCCTTATCCTTGATCTAAAAAGAAAGATTCCACTATTATCTGTTCATTAATGAGGAAGGGAATGGGGTGTGACATGGTGTACATTGAGTATTGGGGTATTCATCCCTGTGCAAATTAATCACGGCTCGTTTAATACTGTCCATCGGGAACTTTGGGTTCTCAGTCTATGAGAGTGTGCTTCCTCCCTGCTGTGCTGCAGAAGAGCACCGTAACATACAGGCCACTGAGTTATGGTAGATGTGGTCTGTTTCAATCCAACGCCAGAACACTGCATTGCTAGCTTTAGGCTGCTCAGGGCACCCTCTCCCTCCAGCACAGGAACTGCCGTACTGGCAGCAGGCTGGTATGTCGTAAGTCTGAGTTCTGGGGTAATGTGGAGCAGAGCCCCAAGCCTGGCTGGGCTGCATGTCAATCACACAGCACCTGAAAGATGAAGTCACACTTCATGGTTATAGGCCATTAAGATTTAGGGGTCACTTGTAACTGCAGCACCAACTAATTTTGTGCTGACTGGTACAATGTTTTATATAACATAGTGACACAGTAGAAAAAAAAGTGAG